ACAGACACCGGCAGGACAGCAGGCCAATGACTGGAGGAATGATGTGGAGTTTGGCAGTTTGGCGAGATCAGGAGGAGAAGAGCACGGGCCGCTAAGCAGCCAGACCCCTGGTCCATCTCCCGTCTGGCTCCCACATCTGCTGAGAACTACTTCTACTCAATAAAATCTTGGACTCATTCTCCAAGCCTGCGCGTGATCTGATTCTTCCGGTATACCAAGGCAAGAAACCCTGGAATACAGAAATCCTTCCGTCCTTGTGGTAAGTGAGGAGGGCTATGAGCTGGTTAACACAAGCCTACAGACGGCAAAACTAAAAGAGCATCCTGTAACACACGCCCACTGGGGCTTCAGGAGCTCTGAACATCCACCCCTAGTCACTGCCGTGGGGTTGGAGCCCCATGGCCTGCTTGTCTGTATGCTCTCATAGAGGTTTGCGCAGCCGGGCACTGAAGAAGCAAGCCCCTCACCCGTCACGTGCCCCTATCCGAACAAGGGTACTTTTCCTGTTTCAATTTCGTATGTTGAACTTTCATATAGCAATCTTGCTAAACTCCAGTATTATTTATTTCTAATTGTTATGCTTCAGATTATCTTGAATTTTCAATTATAATAAGCATATTATATAACTAAAATATAATGTAATATTTATATCTAATTTCTGTTCCTTGCGTTTTTGCGTTAGTTACAAATTAAGATTACTTGAATATGTTGTATAGCACAGATAGTGGACTTTAGTGGAAATGTTCTTAAAATTTTAACACTTAGCATCATGTTATTGCATGTTTTTAGTTGCTATCCATCCTCATATTATCATGTCTCTTTTTTAGTTTGCTAAAAGTTTTAATCATGAAACAAGCATTAACTTTCATTAAATGATTTGTCTTTCTCTATTGATAATAATAATTTAGCTTATACATGTTAGTATTTGTATTATATTAAACAATAATTAAATTTGAAATATTTTACATTTACTAAAAATTATTAGTATTACTGGTTTTTCCTTTTGTCTTAGATTCCAATATGACTTGGTTATTGATCCTGTCTTTTTAAAAATTCTGATATTTTATTTATCATGGGTGTTTGCTGTAATTTTAATTTTTTAAACATGTTGCATTACCATATTATTTATCTTGGTTACTGAGATTTTTTAATGTTCCCTTAAATGTTGTGCCTGAAGAGATTACCTCATTTGCCTTACTCTAGTCCCAGCCCTGCTAGTCAGATTACAAGTTTCAGATAGTGTTTACACCAGAAAGATATTTAGGAGTGGACTTGTGAATCAACGTTGTTCAATCAGACAGTCATATTTCTCTAAACACGATGTTAACTTCAAGGGTGACCTAAGACATTTGGGTCAATGAGCGTGAAGCCAGGACTTTAACTCAATTATTTGAGGTAGGATAATCCACAGGTTTTTAGAAGACTTTACCCTGAAAAGATGTGCACATTAAATTCTGAAAGTCATATTGAAACCTTGTGCAACTAGAAAACAAAAGCAAAATATACTGGGCAGCAGAATCATGAGCCAAAGATAGCCTGAGTTTTATTGGCCTAATATGCTACCCTGAATCTATCTATACTCAAGTCAAATTCCTCTGGTCTTTTCAGTTTTGTGATTCAAATATATCTGTTTTATTTCAAACTGATTTGGCTAGAAATTTTATAATCTGTGGCTAAATTGATGAGGAAATTATATTCATTGTCCTAATGCTCCATTTTATTATAAGATTAAAGTCTCTCTCTCTCTCTCTCTCTCTCTCTCTCTCTCTCTCTCTTTTCCTGGTACAATAAATTACCATGCACCTACTATCTAAATCTTTCTTACATTTATAAGTACTCTGAGTAATTCTAACCAAGAAACTAGCTATGTGGTTGAAAGTAGTTCAGAAACTGGACCTGCAGGACCAACAAAAGCAAGGTTTTCTGTTCTACCTAGCAAAATGTGGGGAAAGTGATTAAAGTACATCCCAGCCAAAGTCCCTGAGAAAACACTTAAAGTCAGAAGTTGGAAACACTAAATAAAAATGCTAATTTGCTAAAAAACAGATAAGAGGAGGAGCAGCTGATGGAAGAATCAACAAAAGACCTAAATAGTTAGCTAGTTTAGTGTCATTGTCTTTTTTCTTCCGGTATAGAGATGGGGTAGGCCAAATACAATAGCCAGGATAAGAAGTTATGTAATGTATAGTTATATAACATATATTTAAATATACATGTCTATATTTGTACAATTATATATGAAATGAGCTATGAAAATACATATGTAGCAGAGTAAATTTAAAATGTATAGATTGTTAGGACATAGTGTACTAATTTGTTTGACAAATAAATTATAATATGTGGATGAGTACTTGTAATTAAAAGGCAACTATTAACAATTCCAATTAAAGGAAATAAAAGCAGAGTGTGGAAACAATTTTCTTTTATCTTAAGATTCTGTACTTTTATGATAAGTAATGAGCATTGAATTCTTTTTTATGTACTAAAATCGTTGCGAGTCCAACAGCCAAGTTTCATTATTCAGAATAATATATTTTACTTCTTATAATGTAAAAAATATAATCATTTGAGTGGTTTTCAGCATGATCTGTTAATTTTGAATACACAGAATGAACAAAGCAGGTAAATATATGTATATGCTGAATAATATAATTCCATATACAATTCACAGTTAGATGCATTTGATTGTGGAAAACAAAGGAAGACAATACCATAAAGGTCTTATTTCAAAACATGGTAAAAATAACGTTCACATGCATTAAACATTTCAAGCCATCTCAGTACATGTCTTTCTTGAGTAAGTAGTGAACCAATGGACCAGTGGTTATTGTTGGAGAAAACAATTACGCAACTCACAAATGCGCTATTTATACAATCTTAGTGACTATCTACCACTTCACCCAAGCAGACTTTCCCACTTATTTGAAGCTATTGCTATCTATAAATAAACGGCAACAGGAAATGTTTCACAAGGGCCTTTGATTTCCAAAACTCTCAAATTCCACAGCAAAGACTCACTTTAAGGCAATTATTTATGTACTGAACATTTGAATCAAGATGTAATATTTTCCTTAAGTGAAAAAAGCTGATACTATTTTGTAATGATAAAATTTGTATACCACAGTAGAAAAGGATTTGTAATTATATGTTAGTACTTTTGATATTCCATATTGAAACACAGTAAGTCTGTAGCTGGCATCAGCTGTACCCTGACTTCACATGAATGGCCTGGAGGGGATCATATTTTTAAACAGGAAATCAGTGTGAATTAGCTGAGTAATTAACATTCAGTGTATAATGAGCATTCTTAACTAAATCAAAGTAGTCATGAAAGAAAGTACTGTAGGTAAACCCAAAAATATACATCAAAATTAAATGGTGAGGTTGAAGGTTGTAGTTAAGTACCAACTAGTGTGAGTTCTGGGAGCATTTTGAAAGGGTGGAGGAATGTACTAAATTTCTGAGGAATTAATACTGATGGGAAGGATTCAGTAAAGAGTAAAAATGGGGCCATTGTGGTTTATATCTGTAATCCAGCACTTTGGGAGGCTGGGGCTGGAAGATTGCTTGAGCCCAGGTGTTCAAGACAAGCCTGGGTAACATGGGGAAACTCATCTCTACAAAAATTACATAAATTAGCTGGTGTGGTGGCCTGCACCTGTAGTCCCAGCTAGGTGGGAGGTTTCAGTGACCCGTGATTGCACCACTGCACTCCAGCCTGGGTGACAGAGTGGGACCCTGTCTAAGAAAACATAACAAAACAAAAGGAAAAAAAAAAAAAAGTAAAGAAAAAAGCCTAGGGATTGGGTGAATTTTTTTTGAAAAAAAAAAAGCATAAGGATTTGGAGACTGTTTAGATGTGGTATATGAGGTATATGAGGGAAAACAAGAAATCTAAACTGAGTTCAAAATTTCAATCCTGAAGAACAGGCAGAATTATACTATCATTGTTAGTGAGAAGTCATGAATCTATGCTAGATGAATGAAGTGGTTGTTTCTAAATCAGTTCCGATTCAAATGTCAAATTTGAGGTGAACACTACAGAAACTGACATGTCTTGGAGGTTGTTGAGGTTGTTGAGATACCAGACTGCACATGGCTCAGCAATAAATGAAAGATATAGGTCTGGATATAGTGAATTAACTCCAGTGAAATATTAAATCCCCAAGAGTGACTAGCACATGAATTTTCTAGTAGACTCTTCCTTGCTGATAATTTTCTCTTCAACAGAAATAACCTACTTTTTTAAAGCATGAATTGTTAGTTTCATTGTGTGCAAATCCTAATGATAACGGAATAGATTTCAGAAGGTTTAAATATTTTTGTTATTTTTAGTAAGAGAAAATATTGGGAAGCATAGTATTAGGAAGTACATATAAATAATTCCCTTTCGATTGCCATAAAACTTATTGTTTCCATAAAGTTTCTCCTTATCATGAGTTGTATTTGATACACAATTATTCAATCATCTTGACTGATAGAATGGGCTACGGTCAAGCAAAAAGAAAGTGAAACCAATCCAAATCAGGCAGGCACATGATGCAGAGTTGACTGTTCAAAGACAATTTAGCTCAATATTGATGGAAGTACTGGTTAGTACAAAAGGAGAAAAGCTATGTCTAAGGAGGGAAGCACATAATAGAATTTTGTTATTACCAGTGTTTTCAAATACAGAATTGAATAATCTTTATCAGAAGCAGGTGTTTGTCACCATTTTATATGTGAAACTCAAGAAGTTCTTGATTTTTTGAGAGCTATATTCCTTAATCTGCTTACAGACTATAAAGGAGATAATCATTTACATGATCGTATCCTCAAACAAATGGTCACCAAATGGAAACAAAGGACTGATTTGATGTAGCCAGCAGTATGATAATCTGTAGTAAAATGCAAATACAGAAGGATCCAGAGAATATGTAATTTCCCAGTAGCCAGTTGATAAATTACAGACATAGAATAAGCAATTTAACAAGATTAGAAAAGCAGCTCTGATACAAATGTGTTGATAACAAGTACAATAAGCATACAAAATTTAATGAACATATTAATTAAAAGCATTTTAGTAGAAGAAAAAATAGAAAATCATAGCAAAACATTTCGTATAAAATATTTAGTAGAATTAATGTTATATTGCTATAACGAATTCACATATTTTTAACAAAAACTTCTTCATATGCTATTTTCACTCTCTGCTTCTTTCTTTTTCTTTTGGTTTTAATTAGGCCTCCTTTTGATATTCTTTGGATGAAACCTATAAGAGGAAGAGGAATAAGTTAATGTGTGATAAAATAACACAATGAAACATTTTATCTAAAATCGTCTCAAAGTATCTTTCAATATTTAAATCCAAAAGATGTTATTGATTTAAAAGCCTTTAATTTGTCCATGTATTCGTGTAGAACAATCTATTTTTAAGGAAGTTTCTTTGCATATATGAGTTAATAAAAATAGATAAGCATGCCATTCATTTTTATTATTCATTCATCTTCTGTTATAAATCCATGCTTGCTTTATTTTTAAAAAGTAGACATGTGGCTGTATCTGGTTGATTAAATTACAGGTAGTTTGTATTTGCATTTTTATACTCTTCTTAGTATTTTATAAACATGCATTACTTTTATATTCAGAAGACATTAATAAATATGTTAAAATTTTGTGTATTACAAGAAAACTTAAAGCCATTTTAGTATAGTCTTTTAAAGTGAATGCTTAGTATTTGAACATTAAAAGAATAAAATGTTTAATTTGGTTTAAATTGATTCTTTTTCTATGAGGACATTAAAGGAAATTACAGTTATATATCTAGCAATATTATCTAAATGTAATTGAAGAGGACATTTGTTAGCTAGATCATACTTTCTTATAATAAAGATAATTAATTTCATATTTAATAGATTATCATTTAAATTCAATTGCTATCTTAAACACTAGTCAATTAATGGGAGGAGTATCTTCTATACCTTTTTTACATGCCCTCAGACATTCTCTTTTAGAAGTAAAATTGTTTTCATTTCCCCCACATCCACTGTACTTAAATGGGCGGCATTTCCCAATGACTGAATTGTAGTAGAATCTGTTCTCATTGGCACGACACAATCCTCTGTCTGCTGGAGCGAGACACCATGAGGGACCGTGAAATTCTGAAAACATCAGGAAAACATGGTAAGCCATATGTGATAGTGAACTTCAGGCTTTCATATTGTATGTTGTTTATAGATTAATGTTGTTGCATGTGTATGTAAAACAGTAATCTGAATGAATGAATAAAGGGATAGTTAATAAAATTGGTGCATATCAGTTCTAGGAAAAGGCTTAACAAGGCCCTGTGTCCACTATATTGAGATCTTTCTCCAACGAATTAAAAAAAATCTCATTTGCTAAAGAGAAGTGTTATGATTACTCTTTATATGAACAATTTGTACATAATAAAAACCACTCTTCAACAATGTAACTGCTGAAAATTTCTTACAGACACACACACACACACATATTCATTTACATATCATTTGTTCACAAATATTTAGCTTTAAAAAAATTCTAAAGAGCAAAGTTTTTATTTGTGATGTAACAAAAACACTGAAGCTGAGGAAGTTACCTCTCTTGACTAAACACACGCTGAATGATGTAACACAATCACAGTTTGAAGTGGAGGAATTCAGGAATAGCAAGCTTTAAGTTTCAAGGAATGAGTCCAGATGAGATGTTTGTCTCGGTAGCATTTTTTTTCTCATAAATTGAAGCTTAGTTCTAGATGAGTTAAATGTTTTTTGCAAAGGAAGCAATATTGCTAAAGCCAGTGAAATGAAACATTGATTTTGGATCAGACAGATAAGCTGGTTTGTCAATGGGATCAATCAATGGTTTTCAAAAACACAAGAGTAAAATACAATTAGGGTAATAAAAGCAGCACTCATTTGCTAAATCAGAGGAGAAAATTAGTTTCAGCTCAATGTTAGTTTTTAGCTCTTTTGGAATTACTGTCAGTGAGGGGCACCTGGTGCTCTTCGGTAGCACAGCTAAGCTGCTTGATGTCAATAAACCAGTACGACAGGTAAGTTGTTGTATGGCAAGGAATCAATACAAGAAAACTTTAATGGCTTTGCCAAATGGTGAGATGTGATACAAGCAAATACAGATGAGGAAGATTTGCTAAATGTCCAATACTAGCAGAAAATAGAACTTCGAGGAATCCAGTAGTTAATGAAGGTGAATAGATTGTGCCTTAAACAAGAAGCAGTCTTTTGGCAAATAACCCCCCGAGATGAACAGACTGTAAAAGCAAAGAAAAGAAATAAAACAAAGTGAGAAAAAATGAGAAAAAATCTCAAATTGATATGAACATTTTTTACCACCTCCTGCCTTCTAGATATTTAAATAAGGACTAGAGTGTCTTCATATAGTAACTCAGGTAACAAAAATATTCTGTGAAATATGAGAGGGAATGAATACTGTGAGAATAATTTATGAGAAGAAATTTGAGACAGGTGATATTCTTGTGCCAAACTATATATATACACATATATATATACAGTTTATATATATATTTATATAGTTTATATAACATTTTTATATATATATTATATATATATACACATACTTAAGTCTTTGACTAGGTATATATGCAGTGATTTTAAGAAGACCTTCTAGGATTTGTAAAATGAAAATATCGTTTTAAATCATACATAGCCCTTTATGTTTTACCTTATCCTATGTGGGGGTTATAGTGCATGATTTTTAAAATAATTTTTATTGTATATGTGTGAGGTTTACAAAATGATGTTATGGGATATATATAGATACTAAAATAGTTGCTATAGCGAAGCAGATTAACATATCCATCTTCTCACAGTTACATTTTTGTGTGTGTGACAAGAGTAGCTAAAGTCTACTTACATAACAAAAATCCCTAATACAATACTTTTTTACTAACTGTCGTCTTCATGTTGTACATTAGATCTCTAGGCTTATTTACCCTACATGCCTGTATTTTGTATCCTTTGACATGATGATATGCCATCATAAATCAAAGTTGAATGGTTAGAATGTGTGCTAGACATTCTAGAAAATGTTGACATTTCCTGTCACTAAGAATCATTTATATTAGAGGAATTCTCTAGCAGTCTAGGAGAGTTATATTGTAATTGAGTTGTACTATTGTACAAACTTTTCCAATGTGTCTGATGTGTATTATCATTCTTGCACAGTGTAGAATATAAAATGATTAATTGCCACCACTTTGAACTCATGAGCTTCCAGTTATCACCTATGTTCAGAAACAAAAGAGATGCACTAGATGCAATTAGCCTAATTTGAGAAACAGAGAAAACAGAGGAAATTGCTATCCCTTTTTTTTCCTGTTTAAACACCCACAGTAACTTCAAAATAGATGTGTACGATAAAATGATATGCAACTTATACATGCATTTCACTTTAGCATTTTGTGTGTAAGATATATCTGCCCACAGTAAGTTGCAGATAATGTGTGTGAATGTGGTTGTAAATTGTATCCTTCTTTGCAAATGTTAGTTGTTACGTCTTAATAGCAATGCCAGACATCAAGCCCCCTTATTCCAGAACGGAGAAAATTTTTTGTTGACAAGGAGCAAACTTCTTCTCTTTTCCCACATAGAACCTACAGTAAACATGGCCCAATCATAAAATCAAGGTTATTTCAAAATGAGAAAAAGCTAGCCTAGTACATATGGGGCTACAGTCCCTAGATTGGAGGTATGAGAAGAGGAGCCTCTGTTGTCATAGACCAAGAACAGCAGGTAAACCCTAGAACCATTCAGGCCTTTCCATCGAAGCTGAAACCGTGGAAGATATACCACAGATGTGGTGGAGATACATACGCTAGCTTCTGTCTTCCTTTGACCATCCAGTCATCCAACAACGGCTGCCATTTACCAAATCTTTTCAGAAGCCAGAGGAGAAAGTTCCCCATAAAAACCACACAAGGCAGGTTGAAAGCAGGGGGTTGGTTTGAGAGCAAACAGCCAGTTGACCAGCATAGATGCCAGCAGAGAAAATTTCACTAAATTATCCAAGGCATCAGATTGCCTCTACTAACACTCTTTATGACTTCTGAATCAGAGAGTGTCTGGCATGCTGCTTCTGACAGCCTGGGATTTGGTATGTAGATGCCCCTATTATCAGATACTTGCTCCTATTTGTCCATGATTGATGCAATGTCAGTTGTTTATCTATCTTACATCACCCTGATTTCAACCACTGCTTACATAGATCATTCAACACAACAGAATTTTGACCCAGATCAACAGTGAGGTTCCCAACACTAGAAATGACAATATTTCGATAGTGCATTAAAATGTGAAGTTAATCACTAAGGATATTGCATTATATGTAATTAACTTTTAGAAGTTTTTAAAGATGTAATAAATTATTGTCAGTTAAGGAATAATTATAAGGCGAGTATTCTTCAGAACATAAATTTTACCTGATATGTAAACTAATTCATTTCTCTTAAGATCATTTTAATTCTGAGCAGTAAGACTATAATTGGGTTACTGTAGCATAAATCACAGTAAAATTAAAGTAATGAAGCAAATGATTTCTTAAAATCATTTTAGCTCCATTTGAATTTTTTTCACTTCTTGAAGAGAAAAACTTGTTTCCAAATAGCAAATTTATTCTACATATAGACCAGCACTCACCTATTCAAAATCAAGAGTTTGCTATCTACAATGAAAGAAAATACAAAGATTTGGCAAAATGTGATTTTTTAGTTGAGATTATAATTATTCACAGAAATTTAAGATAGAATAAAAGAGACACTAACCTGACTTTTGTTCTTTTTTCCAAAGGGAATTTATTAATCAAATGCATTCTGTCTTGATTCTACCATTAATAACAAGTTGGGTACCTTCTGTCTACAGGGTTTTGATAGGTTTCAGAATTCAGGATCCACTTTTTTTTTTTTTTTTTTTTAAGTCAGTAACTATCATGATGTAGTGTGACTGCTAAACTGTAAGACGGTGCTCTAAACTCAGTTTTACAGGTAAAGTTGTTAATGTAAATTTGCTTTGAGATTTATACAGTAAATTTTGAATCACATATTCACTTGGAATCTTTACTGTGGTATCTTTTTTATGACTCTCATTTGGCTTGCCTACTTAGGCTTTTGTTTTACTAAACAAACTAGGTTTTATGAACTATCTTACAACTTGTTAAGTATATTTATTTTTGTCTTTTGAGACTTTTTAGGGAATCAAATAAGAAATCTTTTTAAAAGATTTTTTGTTTATAATTTTGTAGTAAAGAGAAATATAAATTATTTACTTCAAATTATCTTTGTAAAATTTGAAATAATATAAAAGTATAACAAATGTAAAACAAAATTTATCCATAATTTGATTCTTACCCTTTAACCACTACCGATGGTTTACATATCTTCAAATTGTTTGCATATGCAAATGTATTAGTATAATATTCTATATTTATTACTATACTTGATAATATTTTGTGGCTGTGTCTCTGTATTTTTATATAGACCTCATTCTTTTTAATGTAGGTACAGTATTTCATTTTATGAGTTAACTACAGTATATTTAGTCAAATGAACATATAGATTATTATAATTTATTTTTTTTCAGTTCCAGACAACAGCTCATGAATACCCATGTACATTGGTTCAGGTACTTCCAGAGGACAAGCTTCTAAAATTGGAATTATGCAAAATCTATATTCAATGTATAACTTGGTAGATGTTGCTGAATTTTCCACTGAAACTTTTCACAAATTTATGTACCTACGACGACCTTTAAAGTGCCTAAACCATTTAGCAAAACATGGACCTTACAGATATGAATTTATCTACTATTCAACACTTTTTTTCTTCCCCATGCCAACAAAAGTAGAAGGGTACTATGTGGGACAAGAAACTGCTTATAGCTTGCCAAATGTTATATGAAATATCATTTACATAAAATCTAAATGTCATTAATTTGAAGATGCACTATTATTTTATGTACTACTCATGAAGAAAGAAAAACACGGCCAGGTGCGGTGGCTCACACCTGTAATTCCAGCACTTGGGGAGGCCGAGGTGGGTGGATCACCTGAGGTCCAGAGTTTGAGACCAGCCTGGCCGACTAGGTGAAACCCTGTCTCTACTAAGAAT